GGAGGCCGATGATCGCTTGAGGCCATTTCTAGACCAGCCTGGACAATATGGTGAGACTATCTCTACAAAAAATAAAAATAAAAAATTAGCCCAGCGTGGTGGTGTGTCCATGCAATCCCAGTTACTCTGGATGCTGAGGCTGCAGGATAGCTTGAATCCAGGAGTTGGAGGTTACAGTGGGCTGTGATTATGCCACTGCAGTCCAGCCTGGGCAACAGACTGAGACCCAGTCTCAAAAGATAACGTTTATTTTTTTTAAAAAAAAACAAAAAACTATGCATGTATATAGATAGGTGTATGTAAAATACTTAGTTCAAAGAAAAACATGTATATTTCTCACAGAAATAGGTGAGAATTTTTTTTTTATTTTTTTATTTTTTTTAAAGAAAAACAGGTAGCTACATATTAGTTTGAGGAAGGGGGAACAGGGATGTGATGTGCCTGTATCCCTGACTTTAGACGATGGAAGGAGCTAAGCAAAACAATTGAAAAAAGACCGACCGTTTGAAAAATACAACTAATTATTAACTCATATGCACACACGCAAAAATAAACTTTTAGAATTGAGCTGCACTGAGTAAACTTGGCTCATCATATACTCTTTTTGTCAGATGTAAAAAAAAGTTCAGTTATTAAAATTGAACCCCAGAATTAAAATTGCAAAAGCTTAAAGGGGCAGTTCTGAGAAAAGGATCTTCAGTATTGAATGTGTGGGCTCCACCAGGGTTGAAAATCCTGCACGATTGATGAAACACGATCCAGTTAAGCATAGTAATTTTCAAATATTATCCAATCAGGTCGCTACTGTTTCTAAAAACAGAGAAACCGAGCAAGGGCTTTAGAGTTGCAGCTCTAAAACTCCATTGCAACTAAGCTCCTTTGTCCTGATGAGGGCCTAAACCAAGTCGACAGCCTGTAAGTGCACCCATGGTAAAGCGCTGCGCAAAGCAAGAGCATTTTGCGCTTCAAAGCTTTGTCACGATGGCGCTGCAGAAAGCGAGCGAGCTAGGCCTACCTGGTGGGGCTTTCAGAGGACGCCAACGTGGGCGCCAGTCACGCCAGAAGGGTCACCGTCATTCCCAAGGACAGACACCTCTCTAGCCACTGCTGCGGAGAGGGCGTGATTAAGCCATGAATTTTGCTTACTATCCCAGAAGCATTTCTTAGGACCACCCAATTTCGGAAAAGGCTACTTTAGCAATATTGACCCAAGAACGCAATGTCCGCACTTTAACCTTGCATAATAAAAAAGCCTCAAGCCTGGGACTAGGCTTCAACCTTGGTTCGTTACAGTTATGACTAATTAGCTTGGGGTCGTGAGATGCGGGACTTCGGGCTACTTAAAAAAAAAAAAAAAAGCAAAACAGGTGATCTAAAATTCGACTTTAACTCGGTGCATTTGAATTCACCTTGCTATCTTTGATAGCCTCATCTGGCAAGAATTTACTACTGAACCTATGTTAAAGTTCCTATTGACTCTCCAAGTGATTCTAATATAAATGAGGGCGTATTGCATTTGCTTGGGGGAATTTCATCTGTGTACTACAGCTCTTTTCCCGAAGTGTGTAGGTGGCTCTTAAAAGAGCCGTTGGGTTAGTAGAAGTTTCCAACCGAATTTACTTTTTCTTGGGTGCCGCTTTCTTGGGTTTGGCAGTCTTTGGCTTCGTCACCTTAGCCTTGGCCGCCTTGGGTTTTATAGCCTTAGTTTTAGCAGGGCTTTTAGCTACTTTCTTGGGTTTTACAGCTTTGGGTTTTTTGGGACTCTTAGAGGATTTCCTTGTTGCCGCAGACTTTTTAGCATTTTTTGGAGTCTTGACGTTCTTTTTGCTAACCCCCGTGGCCTTTTTGGGCTTTTTAGACGCACCCGTTGCCTTGGTTTTTGCAGCCACCCTTGAAGCGCCGGGCTTGGTTTCCACGGAGGATGCCTTCTTGTTGAGTTTGAAGGAACCCGAGGCGCCGGTGCCCTTCGTCTGCACCAACGTTCCCTTGCTTACCAGGCTCTTAATACCCAGCTTAATGCGGCTGTTGTTCTTCTCCACATCGTAGCCTGCGGCCGCCAGCGCCTTTTTAAGAGCAGCCAACGACACACCACCACGCTCCTTGGAGGAGGAAGCAGCCTGCACGATCAGCTCTGACACGGAAGGGCCAGCAGGCTTTTTCTTAGTGGCCACCGCAACCTTAGCAGGTTTCTTTGCCTTCCTGCTAGCTGAAGGTTTCTCAGGAGCAGCAGAAGCGGCGGGAGCGGGAGGCGCCGTTTCGGACATGGTGACTAATACAGCACACCAAGTAAACTGGTATAAACCTGACCAAGCAGGATGCGAGAAAAAAAAGGCCCCGACTCAGCCTATTTATAGGGTGGGACTGCGCAGTGATTGGTGCCCGTCAGTGCCCGCCCCTCGCACCCTAGCGCCCCCTGCGCTCTGCAGAGGGTTTCCCCCAGTCTCAGAGAGCACCTGGGGGCCTCTAGGGCCTATGGTCCCGCTCCCCTCAACGCAAGCAAACACACCGAAAAAGCCGCTCCGATTGCCTCATTGTGAAGGAAATTGTAGGCCGACTGCCACCTAGTAACATCAGAGGGTGCCGCTTGTCTCTCAAAAAGCAGCTCTTTTTTAGGGAGTAGGTTGATGGGGAGCGGTTTGCAAATGCAGCCCCACAAGCATCCAAGGAGTTTTATTAGAAAGTTTTAGAGGTCCGTTGCCAGAGATGTTAGTTTTTAACTTGCAAGAAATGTAAAATACAGTGTTTGAATAGTTGGGGAGGAAGAGGAAAGTGCGGGTTTTAGGCCGTGTTAGGGCTAGTAGTCATCAACTCGATTACATTTTCTGGCAATGTTTTAGAGCGATGTGTCTCGCGAATACCTTTCACGTCAAAGAAGAATGAATCGTAGACAACACCAGAATTCACTAACGCTGCAATTAATACTCAAACTGCAAGTGTGGAAACGTTTCTGCACTTGCAACTTACTTCCACAGTCCAATGTGGGATGCACTTCAGGAATTTCCAATGCCATTTTCATCCATACAACATGCCCCAAATGGGTGTTAAGGTTTACAACCTGTGTTCCATGTCAGCACATGCAATGAGCGCACCATGACATGGTGAACTCATTGTTTTATTCAACAAAGATTTATGGGCCTCACAAACCTGCGAAAGGCGTTAAATGCTGGGTCCAAGAAACTGGTTCCCCGACAGGCATTCTGCTGGGGAGTTAAGTCTCCTTAGTGTGAAAACAAACGGTAAGTGTAAGCACACCCTGGGGATAAGATTTTATGGTAACCTCTCTTTAGCTTGTTTGTGGCTGTTAAGAGCATTTCAAATTATCAATAAGCTAAAACGATCTCACATTGCCAATCAGAGACTCAGCTAACGGGAGAACAAAAAAACTATTAAATCGACATCCACTTCTACAATCCTATTCTGGATAACCCCCTAACACAGCGGAGAGTGAGGGAATGCGGTCTATTTCCGTTCGTGCTGTTGTAGTTTTTAAATAAGTCCGAACTGTGCTAAGTAACCTGAGCTTTTTCCCTTTTTCTTCAAACAACGTGTCAACCAAATAATTGTAGTAGTCCCAGATAACTATTGTACCCATCTTCTTTACCAGTGTTTCCTACGTCTATTTTATTGAGAAGCCACGCATTCAAATATTTCACGTAATTTCTTAAAATTTGGAAAATAACATTTGGAAACTATACATCTTGGTTTGACGGCTAGTCAGTTATGAAACACAGGTATATAAAATTGGAAGGTTTTTGTAAGTAAACCCTTTATGAAAGATATAAACCTTTCTTAATGTAATAAGCGAGGTATCTGAAAAAAACGCAACTTTTAAAAAGGAAATACTCCGAATTATCTGATTCAGGAGCTTCCACTTTAAATAATGGGTTCTGCCTCCCTTGTTTCCATTGGGTTAAACTGGCTTCAAATAAAATGGGAACGCTCCATGCAAATAAAGGATGATAGATCTGCTTTCTAAATGGCTGTTCAAGAAAATAGCCTAAACCAATCAAAAGATAGAAAGTGGCCTGTCTCCTGTGAATTTAAAAAGGTCACAATCCACTTTTTAGTGTTTTGAGACTTTTAAAATGATTGCATTAGCGCTTGGCAGTGCTAAATTATGTTCCTTGCGGACTACCATCCAGTTTCTCTTGGGCCAAGTCCACCTCCTGCTCCGCAAGAGCAACAATTCCCAGCTGGTGGTACCTGGCGGCAGTGCTGGAGAAACGCCATTTATTGACTGGCAGAGTACACCTAGGCTTAGAAAACAAAAGCTGCAGAACACTGCAAGTTTAGGATTCAAAGAGCATAATCAAGAGAAAGACGTCTCATAGAAAATGTTTCTATGAGGAATAGTGTAATCCTACTATGTTTGAGATGCTTTGTAGATTTCAATAGCGCTACTAAGTCAATTAAAGCATTACAAAGGAATGCAATTCTTGTGAAAGGTTTCAGAAATTCCCGTAAAGGGTACATTTCCGGAGAGGAGAATTCCCTCTTTTTTTTCTCCTAAAGAGCTGAAGGCTATACAGAATTGGAGAATTATAATACCTTTGGAATCAATGCCTTGTTTTATGGAAAATAAACACAGCCTTCAGGTTATGAAAACCAGATGTATAAGAGGACAACAGATTAAAAAATTAAAGTGCAAGCCGGCGCGGTGGCGCTCCCCTGTAATCCCAGCTACTCCGGACGCTGAGGCGGGAAGATCCTTTGAGCCCAAGTTAAAGCCAGCTTGGGGAACAAAGCAAAAGTGAAATAAAATAATAATAATAGTAATAATAATACCACTTTAAAAATAATCTGTAGAGTTGGAATAGAATATAGTAGCCAGTGAAACTGCACGATTGTTGAGGCTTAAAGATAGACCAATCAGAGCTTGTAACGTCATATTTAGCGTCTTCTATCATCCAATCACTGCACTTTACTCACTATAAATAGCAGAGAAGCTCGCGGACGTATTTGCGCTAGTCTTGGGTGTTACGTTGTGCTGTTTTCCTATCATGGCTCGTACTAAGCAAACTGCTCGGAAGTCTACTGGTGGAAAGGCGCCACGCAAACAGTTGGCCACTAAGGCAGCCCGCAAGAGTGCTCCGGCCACCGGCGGTGTGAAAAAGCCCCACCGCTACCGGCCCGGTACTGTGGCTCTGCGCGAGATCCGCCGTTATCAGAAGTCTACCGAACTGCTGATTCGTAAACTACCTTTCCAGCGCCTAGTGCGCGAGATTGCGCAGGACTTCAAAACAGACCTGCGCTTCCAGAGCTCTGCTGTGATGGCTCTGCAGGAGGCGTGCGAGGCCTACTTAGTTGGGCTGTTTGAGGACACTAACCTGTGCGCCATCCACGCCAAGCGCGTCACTATCATGCCCAAGGACATCCAGCTGGCTCGCCGCATCCGCGGAGAGCGGGCATGATTACTCCGGCAGCTCTGACGGTCCAATCAAAGGCTCTTTTCAGAGCCACCACCTTTTCAAGTAAGGTAGCTGTAAGAAGCCAATCTAGGACGAAAGGGAATGCATTGGGAGCACTTTTCGTTTTGATGTTTGCCACTGAAGGCTTAAAAACCATTCGATTTTGGCTGGTCACTGTGACGCGCCTGTGATTCAAGCACTTTGGGAGGCTGAGGCGGGCGGATCACCAGAGGTCAGGAGTTTGGGATCAGCCTGGCCAATATGGCCGAACCCAGTCTCTACGAAAAATACAATAACACGATGGGCGTGATGGCGAGCGCCTGTAATCCAAACTACACTCGGGAGCCTGAGGCAGGAGAATCGCTTGAACCTGGGAGGCACAGGTTTTAGGGAGTCGAGATCGCGGTAATGTACTCCAGCCTGGGCGCCAGCGAGACTCAGTGTCAAAAGAAAAACATTCGACTTAAAATAGTTCTGGAGTCTGAATGGGTTTTGTATTTCTTAACCCAGTTCCTCAAAGCCTGTAGCTCTGTTAATAAAAGCCATTGGTCAAGCCAGCTTGGTCCCACCCCCGTCTCCCAACCCTCCCCCAACCGCCGCTCCCGCCACTTCCTGGGGCTTGGAGAAGGAGTAAGGGAGGGCACTGTAGGCGTCATATTTCCCGCCTGCGCGCTTTTCATTCTGTGTCCGCTGGGGGTGGAGGAAGGGGTAACATTCGGTTACCCCTAAACGTAAAGATCGGTTCCCCTATTCTCTCTCTCTCTGGTTAATTCTTAACCCAGTTCCTCAAAGCCTGTAGTTCTGTTAAGAAAATAAAAGTCATTGGTCAAGCCAGCTTGGTCCCACCCCCGTCTCCCCACCCTCCCCTAACCGCTGCTCCCTCCACTTCCTGGGGCTTGGAGGAGGGGTTGAGGGAGGGGACTGTAGGCGTCACATTTCCCGCCTGCGCGCTTTTCATTCTGTGTCCGCTGGGGGTGGGGGAGGGGTAACGTAGATATATAAAGATCGATTCCCCTGTTCTCTCTCACTTGCTCTTGGTTCACTTCTTACGAAGTCATGTCTGGACGTGGTAAGGGCGGGAAGGGTTTGGGTAAGGGGGGTGCCAAGCGCCACCGCAAGGTGTTGCGCGACAACATCCAGGGCATCACCAAGCCGGCCATCCGGCGTCTGGCCCGGCGTGGAGGTGTCAAGAGGATCTCTGGTCTGATCTACGAGGAGACTCGCGGGGTGCTCAAGGTGTTTTTGGAGAACGTGATCCGTGACGCTGTCACCTATACGGAACACGCCAAGCGCAAGACGGTCACTGCTATGGACGTGGTCTACGCGCTCAAGCGCCAGGGACGCACCCTTTATGGCTTTGGCGGCTAAGGTTGCTGCTTTCTCCCCAGCTTGCGTTTCCGAACCAAAGGCCCTTTTCAGGGCCGCCCAACTAAACAAAAGAAGAGCTGTATCCATTAAGCCAAGAAGCTCAATGTATAGTTAATGTGAATGATAATGAGCTGACATACTAGAAAGGAAAGATTACTGGAACTGCAAGTTTGCCCTTCACTCACTAGATATGGGTAGGGGAGCAAAGATATTCCAACTCTGAAGCGTGAATGGGAAAAACATTGAGTTAAAAATTTGTGTTAGTTTCCAAGGGACAAAGGGAAGCGCTGCCCAATCAGTGAGCGCCATTCGTAGCTGTCAACCAATCAGAACTGATAAGCTAATATTTCCTGAGGCAAGCCAGAGAGTCGGAGGGGAAGCTAAAAAGCTTATTAAGGACAAAACCCTGTTTTAGTAAATTTTTTTTTTTTTCTAATTTTTATTTTTTAGCGATTAGGAAATGAAATCACAGACTTTTAAGTATCCCTCATTCATGTACTGAGAGCAATACTCAATTTATTGCCACCAATACAATTTGCCTCGATTTAAAAGATCCTGAAAATTGAAACCCCATTTAGACTCCTGGAATACCCAGGACACTAAATTCAGGGGCGATTAAAATCTGTTTTAGAGAGAAAAGTCACCTTTTTCAGTGTTACCGGGCCTTCAGCAGTTAGCCTTTTTTCCCCCCTTTAAGTAGAAATTGGAATTTGGGTGATAGAAATATTCTGAAATTAAATTGTGATGATGGTTGTACAACTAAGTAAACATGGTAAAATTCATTGAATTGTACCTAAAGTGGGCAAATTTTATGGTATATTAAATATCAATAAAGCTGATTTCTTTATATACATACATATTTTTATATATGCAGAGAGAGAAATGATGCAGGCAGGGTGGCAGGACATGAGGTTGGTAGCATAGGCAATGATGGTCTGTGAAGGGCCACCTGTGCTAAACCTGGAAGCCTGGGGTTTGTCCAGTTAAGTCATTGTAGCCACAGTTTTAAACGATGTTCCTGATGCAGTTAAGTGTTCAGTAGTACATCTAGCTTCAGAACTCAGCTGGAAAACAGATGTGAACTTGAGATTAGCTAATAGGGAAATATCTTACTCTCATCTGAGTAAATATTCACAAATGCCTCTCATTGTGCTCATTGTTATAGAGGACTGATTTCGGCCTCACTACGTTAGCTTCAGTGATGGATTCCTCTGTATTTTGAGGTCCTGTTTTCCACCTGACAGTTTTCATCCAGCGTTTCTTGAGTACCCAGCTTGGCTTAATTTAAAACAAGTACCCAGCTTGGTTTAATTTAAAACTGACAATGGAGAGAATTCATAGCTGCATCCTGGAATCAGAGGAGCAAAAATGAGCCTAGTATGGAGTGTGGGTCATTTTATGCCTTTCTTAGCTGGTATTTTAAAGATATTTATTGATCTCGTATGCCAGATATTGTTGTAGACATTGGGGTACATAAGTTAGCAAATTTTAATTCCCTTTCCTGAATTCCAGAGTCAATGTAGAGGGGTGTGTGGATATAGATTACCCATATGGGAGCTATAGCTGCTGTAACAATAGCCATGACTAGCTCCTGTTATGTTTTGCCTGGCCTTTTTAGCTGATAGCATTGCTGATAGGTCATACTCATCTTAGGCATACTCACCACCACCTTGGGCCTTCTTCAATCCTAACACTCATGCAGTCCTTGTTCAGAACGAAGATAATGTTGCTTAATTTGCAGCCCCTAGACTAACCCCCCAGATTTTCTAAAGAGAAACTGCACACTGATTGCTTCAGGCAGTGGCAGGTCAAGGAATGAGAGATGTGGAATTGATTGTGTTAGCATTCTAGTGGGCTTAGTGGGGAGCCTGGAGACTTACATAGAAGATTCAAGCATTCATTCATTCAACAAACCTCTATAAACTACCTGTTAAATGTCAGCCCTGTTCTGTTTGTTAAATATATTGTTACATATATAGTTATAGGTGGGGAAATTTTATATATATATATGCTATTGAGGATAGTCAGTTATATACCATATGCTAAACGAGCAGAAAAGCACATTATTTTACAAAGGATGATTATGGGAGGTCTCTTTCTTAAGGTTGGTATTTGAGGAGAGGCTTGAATGAGATGAGATCTAGAGCTATTCAGATATCCAGGATAAGACCCTTCTAGGGAGAAAAAATAAATATAAAGGTGCTGATGCTGGAAATGCTTGGTCCATTCCAGAAACAGCTAGGAGGTCAGTGAAAAGAAAGAATTGGGAAGAGAATGAGGTCAGAGGGTAGCCAGAGTACAGATCTAGTAGGGACTCCTAAGTAGGTTGAGAAACTCATCCTAGTTTGCTTGGGACTTTCTAAGTTTCATCACTGAAAGTCCTACACCCTGAGAAACCCCTGAGAGTCAGGCAAACTGTAATGATTGGTCATCTTACTTGTAGGCTATGATAAGGATGCTGGATTTTATTATGAAGGTGATGGAAAGCCACTGGAATGTTTTCAGCAGACAGTGGACATAATACCTTTAAAAAGGATCACTGTTGCTGCTGGATAGAGAAAATATTGTATGATAGGGGGATTAAAAGTGAAAACAAAGACCAGTTAGGGCTCACTGTGGTCGTTCAGACAAACCACCATGGCAGCTTGCTCCTAGAGAAGCAGCAGAGGAAACAATGAAAGGTATTCTGATTGATTTTCGACAGAGCTGACTGCATTGGATGAAAGTTTTAAGCAGCTCAGGACAAACAAGATTGCACAATTCCTGGCCCAAGCTGCTTGAAGAATGGAGTTCTACTGATTGACGTGACAAATATCAGAGGAAGAACAGACTTGGTGTTTATGTATAAACATATTTATTTTGGACAAGTTTGAGATGCCCATTAGATATTCAAATGGATACATCAAATATGCAGTTGTATATAAGTCTAGAGATTTAAGGTCAGGGAGATGGTTTATAATTGCAAACATTTATTTAGAGACACAGTTTCACTCTTGTCTCCCAGTCCTAAGTGTAATAGCACGATCTCAGCTCACCGCAACCTCTGCCTCCAGGGTTCAAGCTATTCTCCTGTCTCGCCCTCCCGAATAGCTGGGATTACAGTCGCCCGCAACCATGCCGAGCTAATTTTTTTAAAAGTAGAGATGGGGTTTCACATTGTTGGCCAGGTTGGTCTCGAACCTGTGATTTCAGGTGATCCACCCGCCTCAGCTTTCCAAAGTACTGGAATTACAGGCGTGAGCCACCGTGCTGGGCCTATTTTTCTTAAGCTCTATGTTTCGTTCTGAAGCTTGAAGTGGGTGGAAGCAAACTGATAGAATTTGGAGAGGTGGTTAGGCAACCTGGGATTGAGAAACAGCCGGAAGCTGCCACTATCACAGGCTTTGGCATTGCTAGAAGTTAACGTGACACTTACAGCTAGGCCTTGGTGTTCTGTTGAACATAAACTATTTCACAGAACACAGAGCTTGTAAGTGGTGAGGCTAGTTGAGTTAGCCGAGAAAAGGAGTCCAAGAACTGAGCCAGAATACACCAGAGTGTGTAGTGGAGTAGTTTTCTCATTCTTTAGTAGGGCTATGTAGAGATACTCTATTTTATGGATATACAGATCACACTCTAGTCCCTTCTGATGAAAACTTTACAGTTCCCACTCATTTACTACTGCAAACAATGCTGTACTACATTATGTTTGTTTTTAGCCGTCTCATCCGGTCTCAGCATTTATCTGCTGATGTCTCCCACATTTTTATCTCCAGCTCAGACCTCTCACCCGAACTCACTTACTCAACTATCTATTCACTATGTCCTCCTGTGGGGAGAGGCTTGTTAGCAAAGTAACCAGACAACAAAGTTGTTTTTTTGCTGAAGTAGCCCTCTATGTATTTGTTATTAAATCAAAGATGCTGAATATTTGGCTGACTTCTAAATCTGGTCACCTAACTTTGAAACACTTCCTAGGTCGTACAGTTTGAAACTTGCACAATTAAAAAAAATCGGTTTTGGAATTTCCAATTTAAGGCAGGAATAGAAGACCGTTGGGTTGACAGGTACTGTGAATATGCAAGAGTCATCGAAGAATCCTGTATCAGAAGCGGCTTCCATTTTATAGCTACTGACACGGACCTCGGAGTCAGAGGAAATGTGAGTCCTTATTTATAAAACAGACTCCCTTAGTCTACTAAGTGGGAATTTACAAACTGCGTAGGCAGCCTGCCTAGGACAGCCTCCAGCCTGAGGACTGAAAATAGCAAAGCAGCTTTAACTGCCAGTCTTACTCGGGGGAAAGGGTAGGTGACATCACTCAGCACGACGCCAAGCTCAACTAAAAATGGAAGTAAAGGCTTCTGGCGCTACGGGCAGGGGGGCGGTTGAGGGAAGGTGTTACCAGGGAGGCTAAATGTACAGATCTTGCTGACGTTGCTTAAGTCAGATACGCCTGGGAAACACCTGACATCTATTTTAATCCACTTAATCACTTGCAGCCGGCTGGCATCTTAAGACTCCCGTACAAATAACGCAATGTTTTTAAAATTAAAAAGCTGAACGACTCATTATCGGACTCGCGCGGCACTGTTAAGTTCCTTTAGTGTCAAAACCATAGCATTAAACTTCATAGCTCGCTTATCCCAGAGACCGCGTTTGCTCAGCTGACTTCTGCTTTAGCAGCCGCTCAGACCTAAGAACCTGGTCTCTCCCAACCGGCCTGTAGAAGTTGTTCATGCTAGGCGAAGTGGTTGAGTAAAGCTGAGATTTTCCGGAAGAATACGATCACAGCTCTTTCTGAGAGAGAGTGGGCGGCCCTGAAAAGGGCCATTGGACGGAAAACTGACTAAAATATTAACCGCCGAAACCGTATAGAGTACGTCCTTGGCGCTTGAGCGCGTAAACCACATCCATGGCAGTGACAGTCTTGCGCTTGGCGTGCTCCGTATAGGTCACGGCGTCCCGGATCACGTTCTCCAGAAAAACCTTGAGAACACCTCGGGTCTCCTCGTAAATCAAACCGGAGATCCGTTTAACCCCACCACGCCTAGCAAGGCGCCGAATGGCCGGCTTAGTGATGCCTTGGATGTTATCCCGCAGCACTTTCCGGTGGCGCTTGGCGCCTCCCTTACCCAAACCTTTGCCGCCTTTGCCGCGACCAGACATAGTCAACCAAGTCTGAGCAGAGAGAAGAGTACAAAAACAAAGCAAGCTACGAGCATTTATATACGAACATCGGACCTTATTGAGAACTGAAAGCGGGAGCGAGGATAAGGAGGCGTTGCTGCCTCACCCTTTGCTCCGCCCCTCGTGGGGCAGTGACCTAAGGACTGTGAGAGACAACACAATAGTTTCACTTTCTAATCCCTTTAGTTTTTCACTCCCGTTTACGACACTACTATTTGAATCTGAAGCTATACCCTCGACTGAGAATTTTAATAAGGGCTTATATTAAGAACTTTCATTAATATGCCAGAGTGGTAGACTTTTTAAGTGTTTCAAGTGCTTGAAGACATTTTGACTATTTAAAGGTACTTAAAAGAGCAGGTGTGAAAAGATCACTCTGGCCTCCTGTTTTCTTGAAATCTGACCTGTTTCTTAGAAGCAGTAGCTGAGATTCTCATATGAACGATGTTCTCACTGTACTTTAAAAAAAGCAACATTGTTCTCAAGGATGGGAGGCTAAGGCCAAGAGAATTCTGTACAAACCTTGCACTAGCGCTTGCTGGTTGCTTTTCTACCCAATTACATATTCTAGCCTTTGCTTTAGCGCATTTTTACACTTTTACTATTTGTCCAATTCATTATATAAGTAACTAACTGCTTTTTTGGGCCTTCATTTCCTTGTGAGAGCACCTGTGTCACGTAAAACCTGTATTAAATAAATGCATATACCTTTCTCCTGTTAATCTGTTTTATATTAATTTAATTTGCTGGTCCAGCCAGAGCCCTAAGAGGATGGGGGTGGAGTTTTGCTGTCCTTCACACTGTACTGTCTCATTCAGAAGAGGGTGATTGTTAGCTATGTTACATTGCAACCATGCCTTCTTCTGTAAATCGGGTTATGATGATAGTTAATTAGCTAATGTGAACGAGGCATGAGAACAGAGACTGTGGAAAAGAAATAAATATTACATAATATGGTTTAATTTTAGATATAACTACTTTAAAAATCTGCCCAGAGTTGGGATATTGTCCTGAACTCTCATTTTTGGGTTTTTACTCCCAACACCATATCGCTAGCAGCAACTATGTGTGTATTAGTAAGGATTGTTTTTTTAAAATCATAGCCTGTAATAACGTACAAGGTGTTGACAGATTTTTTGCTTTTCGTATGTGACATGTTAAAACTGTCTGAAAATATTCCTTTGTTCTCTTTTCCAAGGTGCATAATCATAGCAGCCTTTGTGCTTTCCTATAGCCAAGCCTGGAGTGTAGTTCAAATCTCCATACACGCTTCTCACTGTTGTTTTAAATTCTGAAAACATTCGTAAATCACTTCTATTGGAAAAACTGGAAGGGCTACTGCTAAATTTTTAAGTCTGAAAAATGCACCCCGAACTTGACTTCTTTGTCTGAGAATCTTAGCCTTTTCACCCAAATCTAAAAAACCAAGACTGATTTTAGGCTTCAACAGTGTCAGGCCTCTGAGCCCAGGCTAAGCCACCATATCCCCAGCGACCTGCACGTATACATTCAGATGACCTGAAGCAACTGAAGATCCACAGAAGTGAAAATAGCTTAACTGATGACATTCCACCATTGTGATTTATTTCTGCCCCACCCTAACAGACCTATGTACTTTATAGTCTCCTTAAGAAGTTTCTTTGCAATTTTCCCAACCCTTGAGAATGTACTTTGTGAGATCCATCCCCTGCCCCCAAAACATTGCTCTTACCTCCACCACCAATCCCAAAACCTATAAGAACTCATGATAATCCCACCACCTTTGCTGACTCCTTTTTCGGACTCAGCCCGCCTACACCCAGGTGAAATAAATAGCCATGTTGCTCACACAAAGCCTATTTGGTGATCTCTTCACACGGACCCGTGAAACAAACAGCATTAGCTATAAACTTCAGCCTGCAGCATAACATCACTTTGTGATGACTGGGCAGGAAAAACCCTGTTTAACTGTTTCAGGTGCGTCTCTGTGAAGAGACCACCGAACAGGGTTTGTGTGACCAACAAGGCTGTTTATTTCACCTGGGTGCAGGCAGGCTGAGTCCGAAAAGAGAGTAAGTGAAGGGGGATAGGGGTGCGGCCGTTTTACAAAATGTGGGTAGGTAGTGGAAAATTACAGTCAAAGGGGGTTGTTTTCTGGCGGGCAGGGGTGGGGGTCACAAGGTGCTCAGTGGGGGAGCTTTTGAGTTAGGATGAGCCAGGAGAAGGAATTTCACAAGGTAATGTCATCAGTTAAGGTAGGAACAGGCCATTTTCACTTCTTTTGTGATTCTTCAGTTACTTCAGGACATCTGGATGTATACGTGGAGGCCACAGGGTGTATGATGGTTTAGCTTGGGCTCCGAGGCCCGACAAACTGAACAACTGGGAACAATCAACAGTTAATGCACACAATATGTTATAGGGAGGCAAAATTTTACCTCTACTCTGTTAGGGTCTCCAACTGGACCTAGTATTTAATTTGCCATAAAACAGATTAGCAGAATGAAAGCATACAAATGTATGTAATGTAAATTTTATGGGACAGGAGAACCCTCATAAGTGAAGACCCAAAGAAATGGCAAAAACTAAATGCTTTCATATTAAGTTAAAGAGAGGCAATTGTGAGAAAGTAAACCATATGGGGAGATTAAAGGAAAATAGGATTATTTTAACAAGGTTTGTTTGTGTATAGAAGTCTCTCGGCTATGACTCTCTGCTGTGTTTGTGCAGAATTATCTCATCTATGACTCTGCTGAAAAATCTCTCTTTTCTCCTGGTAAAAGGAGAGCATTTTTCACATTGGAATTTTTATCTCCTGTTTTCAGAAAGAAAGGGTTAGAAGAATTCTCTTCTTGAATTGCTGTTTTTGAAGTGCCTTTAGCTCAAAAGAATCCTGATCCCACAGTGGTCTATTTTTGGATGTTATATTCTGCAAACAACACCCCCTTTTTGTCTCCAATCTCACCTTAATTACTCCTCTAATAAAAAACAATCGATTCTTAATATGATATTAAAATGTTTGCACTACTCACGAATATAAAATGCTCAATAAATTTTCTTTCACAAATGAGAATTTCATCCATTCTTTTTTTTTTTTTTTTTTTTTTTTTTTTGAGACGGAGTCTGGCTCTGTCGCCCAGGCTGGAGTGCAATGGCGTGATCTCGACTCACTACAAGCTCCGCCTCCTGGGTTCACGCCATTCTCCTGCCGCAGCCTCCCGAGTAGCTGGTACTACAGGCGCCCACCACCACGCCCGGCTAATTTTTTGTATTTTTAGTAGAGACGGGGTTTCATCGTGTTAGCCAAGATGGTCTCGATCTCCTCACCTCCCAAAGTGCTGGGATTACAGGCGTGAGCTACCGTGCCCGGCCCATTCTTTAAGTATCAACTGTAAATGAAGAGTTACAGCAGAATCCTTGTTCTGTTGAGGAGAGGGCAAAGAATGTAAGTGAGGGAGCGAACAGCTGGACTGAGCTACCACCCCCAGTCCATCTGATCCTCACACAGTAATATCACTTTATTATTTTATGCTATTGGCCAGACCCCGTACCTCCAACACTTTTTCCTACAGATAAAGAAAATATAAAAAGTCAAGCACTGTCCATCAGATCCAGCACATCTATAACTGGAAAAAACAAAATACTTTACCTTCAGCTGGGCCCAGAGCTTGGGGGTAGTCACCTTGGCATAGACCAAGTCCATTGGCATCTCTAACATACTCTGTCTATGGATAACAAATGTCTGTGCCAGGTAGAGTCGCTTGTATGAGTCAAGAAAAACAAAATATAAAACACACAGGCATATTCATTTTCATAATTTTTAAATGCAAATATTACTTTGTAAACCAAACACTGCTTTATTAAAAGCTGGAACACAAGTGAATTTAAGTAAACAATGCAATTCAAACTTAATATTTTGTGTGTGTGGTTTGTTGTTGTTGACAGTTGGTCAGGTGATTTTAGTATGGTACATCAATTTACACTCTAGATGTAGGCCAAGAAAGAATGTTAGGTGTAAAAAATATTTATTGTAAAAAAGAATGTGAGGCAAGGTCTTTGGAATTAGTAGTTGTAATGTTCGACAATCTGTGGTTGTTATAAAGTTAGTTTGTAAAATGTGATCTAAAAGTTATATGATAAAAAAACTACAATCATAAAATATTCAAATTATATTTTAAACATTACTTTTGTTTACATTCAGTATTCCCATCCCTATAAATTTTCTTCCAGTATTCAACCCCCAACCTCCAGAAAACCGAAAAGCAAGATCAACAGAAATAAAATGGTTAAAATTTGTAAATTCTAGATTTTAATAGATAACTACAGGCAAGAAGTAGTGGGAAAAAAAATGTGGCATGTCATGGTGCATAGTCCTAGAGGAGATAAAGCAATGAAACCAGCTAGACTATTTACAAGCAAAGCCACACATATAAAATAAATATATAAGGAATTAAATTATGCTTGGTCGACAGATTGACAGATGAAAAGTGGGTAGCTAGCTATGGATAAAATGAGAGCCAGTTAGATCCCTGCCTCACATTTTGCACCAGAATAACTTTCAGGTTAATGTGGACAGCCAAATGAATTAAAAATAAAATTCTTCTAAGCACTTTGAGTAAGACATTGGAAGTCGCGAGACATAACTTTTCAATCTTTTGAAAGCTTCACAAAAGAGCCTAGTAAGCACCAGTTAACCACTTGCCTGGTTTTTCCCTTATATTCTTAGCCTTAGAAAGTTGTTTTAAAAAATGCTAATCATAGCAAGCTAGAGGCCTGAATGGACAGGTGGACTTATACAGCTTCTCCTCCCCAAATAGCACCTAAGAAGCTCAGAAATAGTCTACACTGCCAAACGGGCCAAACCACATTTCTGTTAATGAACTTAAGAACATAGTCTAATGCTTTCTGGGGATTCTTGGTTTGGTGTTGTCGAGTTTATTAACAAAAACGTAGTTATCACAGCTACTTTCGTTGGAATAATTGAGTGGCTCTGAAAAGAGCCTTTGGGTTTTAGGACTGATCAAAATGTAACTTTAGGTTTACGCTCTCTCTCCGCGAATGCGGCGAGCAAGCTGTATATCCTTGGGCATAATAGTCACCCGCTTGGCATGAATGGCGCAAAGGTTTGTGTCCTCAAAGAGCCCTACCAAGTAGGCCTCGCAAGCCTCTTGTAGTGCCATCACCGCTGAGCTCTGGAAGCGAAGGTCGGTCTTGAAGTCCTGGGCGATTTCTCGCACTAGGCGTTGGAACGGCAGCTTTCGGATCAGCAGCTCGGTCGACTTCTGGTAGCGACGGATCTCGCGCAGAGCTACAGTGCCCGGGCGGTAACGGTGAGGCTTTTTCACGCCGCCGGTGGCCGGCGCGCTCTTGCGAGCAGCCTTGGTAGCCAGCTGCTTGCGTGGCGCCTTACCGCCCGTGGACTTGCGAGCAGTCTGTTTGGTACGAGCCATGGCAATAAGCAGAGAAGCTTGCCTCAAGAGACGTTTGTGAAAGTAAAGAAAGAGCTACTCTTCTTTTATAGAGTCAGACCACCAACTATTGGCCGCAAGAAAATTCAAAAATCCCCTCGCCCTTCTTGGATTGGTCCATCTCTGTGCCTGGTTGAAGATTAAGAGAGGCTCCTGCTCTTTACGGTAGCTACTCTGACGTCATTTTCTTAACCCCTTAGCTGCTATTACACTGTGGCAAGTCTTGTACTGGAAAAGCTTCGTAGTCTTAAAATTTACAACCACACAAAGCAACGCGGAAACCTCCAATTGTTTCTAGTTAAAATATAAAAAAGAAAAAGAATATTGGAGGCGATTAGGGAAATTTGCATGTGTTCTTTATTTAAAATGATGTTTTTCTGGGTGTGGCATGAGTAGTGTGGGCAATTAACAAAACGCTCTTAGCCGGGTGTGGCGGCTCCCGCCTGTAATCCCAGCTACTCGGAAGGCTGTCAAGAGGATCGCTTGAGCCCGAGTTCGAGGTTACAGTAAGCTATTATCACCCCACTGCACTCCAGCTTGGCCGACAGAGGGAGACTCCACCTCAAAACAAAGCAAAACATCCCCCACACTGGAAAAAAGCTCCTTATCTTGGAAATACATGCTGAAATGTTCAGTGGTAATGTGTACGCTCTCAATTGTGTATGCCATCAATTGCTAGAGCAAATGGTGTGACATTTTCAAACTGTTTTACCGTGTAGGGTATGCGTGTTTTGCTTAACACTTCCATTAAAAATACTTAAGGAGTGCACCCATGGGTATAATTTCCTTCCTCCAAAATGTAACTGCTGTGTGAAACTTAGCGAGGATCACCCCTGTAAAAGTGTTTTTTGTGCTGCATGGCATTTCTCCTACATATGTAGAGTTCCTTAAAGGGTTTACATAGATCTAGATTTCTGCAGGACAAATTACTAAAAGTGCCACACGAAAACCATCAAAAACACCTCAAAACATCTGTGTGGGCCGCATAATACAAAGCATAACAGCTCATTTAACGGAAGTCGTAGGTGGCTCTGAAAAGAGCCTTTGTTGTTAGGCTGATTTCGTCTGCTGACAGTGTATGAAACGTTAACACTTCACTTTCCCTTGGCCTTATGATGACTCTCAGTCTTCTTAGGCAGCAGTACCGCCTGAATATTAGGCAGAACGCCGCCCTGGGCGATGGTCACACGCCCCAAGAGCTTATTAAGCTCCTCGTCGTTGCGGATGGCTAACTGCAGGTGGCGCGGGATGATGCGGGTCTTCTTGTTGTCGCGGGCCGCATTGCCCGCCAGCTCCAGGATCTCGGCGGTCAGGTACTCAAGCACCGCCGCCAGATACACCGGCGCGCCAGCCCCGACGCGCTCGGAGTAGTTGCCTTTGCGGAGCAGGCGGTGCACCCGGCCCACGGGGAACTGCAGACCTGCACGAGAAGAACGAGTCTTAGCCTTGGCGCGGGCTTTGCCGCCTTGTTTGCCGCGACCAGACATAGATAGTTCAGCTAGAATAACAAAATACCCACAGGAAAATGTAACGAGAATATGTTAGGAGAGAAGGCAGAGAAGCATTTATACTGACTGGAGGTAGGCTGTGGGGAATTCTCCCATTGGCTAATTTCAAATACCCAATGGGAAATCAGAATCTGCATCCTTTATTTGCATGTAATCCTTCCATCTGGTGTAAGGTTTATGTTTGATTCAAACCCCAGTATGGCTTGAGGAGCCTTCGACTTGAATGCTAACAATAATTGACCCAATTAGGATTTTGTCAAAATATCTTTTTTAAGCATGAGTGGAGGTTTTGTTCTGGTTATTTTGACTTTTAGCCGCTAGTGCTTTACCGGGATTGTGACTCATCGTTTTGGAAAGGAGTGGACTCCGACCAATTTCTAAATAGATATTTAAGAGGTCCTTCAAACCGGGCGCGGTGGCTCATTCCCGTAATCCCAGCACTTTGGGAGGCCGAGGAGGGCGGGCCAGGCGTTCGAGACCAGCGTGGACAACATGGAGAAACCCTGTCTCCAGTAAAATACCAAAAAAAGAAGGGGGGAAAAAAAAAAGAAAAAAAAGACGGGCTTGGTAGTTAGTGCACGCTTGTAGTTACAGTTACCCGAGAAGCTGAGGTGAGAGGATCGCTTGAACCGGAAAGGCGGAGGTTGCAGTGAGTTCAGTTAGAGCCACCACACTCCAGCGTGGGCGACAGAGCCAGGAGGCTGTTTCAAAGAAAAAAAAGGTTGGGTGGGGGGGAAGGAAGAAAAGGGAATACCTCAAATCCCAGCTGTAGAAGCTTATAAGCTCTCTGATTCATAAGGGAAAGAGAAGGGGATGTAAGCAACTTAGGGGAGAGTATATGATTCGGGAGAAAAATAAATGGGTATTTCAAAGAATAGGTGACAGCTGTGACAAAGTCTGTTTAGATGGTGTTAACCGCCAGTCTCCTCTCCTGTGATACAGTTAATCTTCTCTGGTTGATGAGATTCCCCAGGGAAGTGAATCTTAACTAAATTTCTTTTTGAATTTTTTTTTAATTTTTGAAATTTTTGATAACAGGAGTTCAGAGAAAGCTCCTCCCTGAATCTCCTAAGTGCCCTCAGTTCAAAGAAACCAGCATAACAAAGTGGCATACTTTTGAGTTGCATTTCCTGAACTTTTTCATAACACTGAATGAGGAGTCTCTGGAATCTTTCAGGAAATGGGAGAACAAACATTCCATAACACAGAAATACTCAAAATGGGATTATTATCATAAAAGTGTTTCTCTGACCTTCTTCTGCCTTCCTGTCTCTAAGTCCCATTCTCTGCAAAGGCTAGCCATAGAAACCAGAATTCCTCCTCAAGGTAGGCTATACAAATCAGAACTCCTTTTCCCCAGAGCCAGCCATAAAACTTAAAAATATTACTCTAACCGACCTTGTTTGCCCGTAGGTCATAAGACCCCCTCATTCTAAAAGAGGGTCTTGTCCCATAACCAGAAGGAAAGAATGCTGCACTGAGAGGTCAAGAAGAATCTTGACACACAAGCCTTGCGGGACCTCCCTACTCAGTCTGTTAGCATTCGATGTACCCTATACGGCTGTTTATATTGTTGAACCTAAGCATAAAAATGGGCAATTTCCCCTGTATCTTTCCATTCTAAAATTTCCGGTAAAATTATGATGAAATAAATGTATATGCCTTTTCTCCAATTAATCTGTGTTTTGCCAGTAATTTTCAGTAAACCTTGGGAGGGCAAAGGTGAAGTTTTTCCTTGGCTCGAACAGTATTATTACAGCCATTGTCTCCCTCTCATGTTGAGGAACCTAAAATCAAGAGAGATTGCCTAGAGACATCTTGGTGTTTTTCCTTTTATATTCCATGAGATAGGAGCAGGTGGGGTATAGATGAAGGTGGATTAATTATTCCAGGAATTTCTGAGGTATCTACGACTTGTATCTTTGGTCTACTTATACTGAAACAGAATGGCAGAAGGAAAAAGAGACACAGGTATAAGAAAATCTGTTCCTGGACGGGCACGGTGGCTCATGCCTGTAATCCCAACACTTTGGGAGGCTGAGGCGGGCGGATCACTTGAGGTCAGGAGTTCATAACCAACCTGGCCAACATGGTGAAACCCCAGGCTTTACTAAAAATACAAAACATTAGCTGGGCATGGTGGTGGGAACCTGTAATCCCAGCTACTCCGTAGGCTGAAGCAGGAGAATCGCTTGAACCCTGGAGACGGAGGATGCAGCGAGCAGAGATCGCGCCAATGCACTCCAACCTGACCAAAAGCGAAACTACCTCTCAAAAAAAAAAAAAAAAAAAAAAAAAAAATCTGCTCCTAAGCCAATACTGTCACAGAACTATGGATTTGATGCAGAGAAACTGTGAGGAAACTAAAAGTGCTGATTTTTAGTTTCTTTTTTGACTTTTCCCAAGTCTTCTGACTCTGGTGATATTTTTCCCTTCACAATATTCAACCTCCCTTTTCAAAATGATAATGATCTTCTCCCTCAACAATAGCAGTAAACATCAGTAACCACTGGCTCATTTTCTTAGAAAAGGTGCAAGATTCATGATGAAGATGTTAAAAAGTTATCTCAGATACTGCCCTAAAGAGATTATACTCTGAGAATGAAGGACTTACATACCTGAAGATTAAATAGCAGTGCACATTCTGCTTACAAAATAAAGACTTTGAGCAATATATCATACAAAAGCACATAGAAAAGAAGATTGATCACTGTAAATTAGAAGGAGTTAGAGAGTTCATGAGGGAGGTGTATATCCAGCATTAGTTCAGCATATATTCACTGAAAACCTGCTAAGTGCCAGAGAGAGTTCTAGGTGCAGGGAACATAGCAGTGAAAAAGCAGACAACGTGTTTCCTTAGGGTGCTACTTGTCTTGTAGGAGGACGTGCACAATAAGGTAAATACATAGTGAAAATGTAGAGATAAGTGATGAGTGCTATGCAGAAAAATAAAGAAAGGGGTTAAGAAAAAAGAATAGGAATAAGGAGGAAAAGTTTCATCAGGAGAATGTCATTTGAATTCAGACCTGAAAGGAAGTGAAGAAGCCAGCCAAGTAGGAAGGATAAATACTTCAATAAAATACTGGATGTGTTCGAAGCCAAGAAAATGTCCGGAACCAAGGGTAAGAAGGTACAGCTATTGTAATTTCCTGAACAAATCGTAGGCCATTTTGGAAAGAGCCCTGGATATGTACAGCGCTAGATAAAATTGAAACCAAGATTAACGGTAGCTTCAGAAACTCAGACTAGAAAGCAGGAGTACATCCAGTCACAATATCAGTAATCTATATGCCACTGGTTCATGGATGAGAAAAACTCTTCTCATCCAAGTTACCTTGAATTAAGCAAACCAACAAGCGCCTGGCATGTGCTATTAGCAAAACAACTTGATGGCAGTCCTTTCAGTAAGTGCCTCAAACAGTACATTTTAGGCACTTGCCTTTAAAAAACATACAAAAGGCAGATATTGGGGAGGGAAATATTGGGGATTATTTATTCCATATAAATATAAGAGGAAAATAAGTTGTTTCCCAATAACAACTCCAACACCAGGAGTAGAGAAAGCAAGACAATCTGATGCCTCGTGGTTTGCAAAAACAGTAAAAAAAAAAATCTATTAATTGCATAATATAATTCACCCTTGATCACTCTCTAAATCAGTGCCCACTAGCTACAAGTAGCTACTGTGAAGTTGAAAAAGGGTACTTCAGATTGAGCTATGCTATAAATATGAAATAGACTTAGTGTGTTAGTTCATTCTTGCATTACTGTAAGGGAATCCCTGAGACTGACTAATTTATAAAGAAAAGTAATTTTTTTTGGCTCATGATTCTGCAGGCTGTGCAGGAGGTGTGGTGCAGGTATCTGCTACTGGCAAGGCCTCAGGAAACGTCCAATCATGGTGGAAGGTGAAGAGGGAGTAGGCATATCATATGGTGAGAGTTGAGCAAGAGAGATGGGGGAGGTGTCACACTCTTTTAAAGAACCAGATTACATTTCAACATGAGATTTAGAAGGAACAAATATCCAAACCATATCACTTAGAATGAAGAAAGAATGTAACACATCTCACTAATAAGTATGCATATTGAAAACATGTTATAATGACATTTTGACTATAGAATTTAAAAAATATACTATTGAAGATATTCAAAAATTTAAAAGTACATATATAATTTGTAGTACATTTCTATTGGACAGTGGAACCTCTAGCAATGTTCCAAATGTGGCCTGTATATGTGTATGATGTAGGAGTGATCAGTCACGTTAAGATGATCATAATATAGTTACTTAGTCCATTTTGTGATACTATAACAGAATACCACAGACTGGCTAACTTCTAAAGAAAAGAAATTTATTTCCTACTGTTCTAGAACCTGGGAAGCTAAGGGCATGGCATTATGGCATTAGTATCTGGTGAGGGCCTTCTTACTGCATCATAACATGTTGAGAGAGCAAGAGTATGTGTGTCACCTGAGGTGTCTCTTCCTTTTCTTATAAAGCCACCAGTCTAAAGGAAATGAAAATATTTTACCACAAAATATATTTCTTTGACATATTTTGAAATGGCTGCTGCTTGGCCAGCAGGCAGAAATGGGCGTGCAAAACTGTTTTAAATGGGAAAAATTTTATGTCTGTAGAGAATCTCCATTAATGCAGCCATGCCTCCTCCCCTTTCTGTACCTTTCTCCAGATCCAGGAGAGATTGAGAGTCTGACACTTAAAAATCGTAAAAGAAACATTTACCATCTATTCTTTCTGAGGGAGGCTTTACCTACGTAACAAGGCCACCTTTGCAAGCCAAACCTCTTTTGCCTCCCATAACCTGTTTTACCAGAATCTAAGCCCCAATTCTTTCTGTGATCTAAAAATGGTATATAAGTGTCTGTAACTCATTGGGAAGTTAGGTAATTAATTCTGAATGCTCCCACGTAGACACGTTAAATAATTAGGTATGCCTTTTTACCTATTAATCAACC